GGCGGGGGGGGGGGGGGGGGGGGAAGGAGAAAATCATTCCTGAGCCCTCTCTAAAGGTGTTCAAACAACCCCTCAACCACTCTAAGCTCTTTACTAGAAGCAAACTCCACACAGACCTGGACACACCAATTCAAAGCAGCATCAGATCCTGCCACAACAGATGCAAAAATCTGCAGGCATATCTCCACTGCTACAGCGATCAACACATCACATAAAGACCAGACCCATTCCTATCACAGCACCCAGTGTACCTCATCCAGTAAACTAAATGTTCCAACTGCAACTATGTAGATGAAATAAAGCAACCACTATGTTCTCAATCTCTCACAGGAAAATGATGCAAGACAAAAATACTCCATTGCCTGCAACTGAATACTTTCCAGGAAGTGATCACTCTATATCAGTCTTCATCCTCAAAAGAGCCCTTCACAACACTTTCAAAAGATGAACCTGGGAGCTTAAATTCATCACTTAGCCAGACACAAAAAGTCATCCATTGAGCAGAGGCAGTGGGCATTGTTACAATAATATGTAACTCACTAACAATGCTCTGCTCAGATGCTTTCCAGCTCCTTTCCTCCCTATGACTGGCCAGGTGTTAATGGGCCACTTCGTTATGCTAAACAATCTGTTCCAGCTTGTATTTATTTAGCTGTGACACTCTGAATTCAAACCCCAGACCTCAAGTTGAGCCTTGTGAGGCTAGAAAGCTTCCCTCTCTCACCAACAGAAGTTGGTGACTATTACCTCACCCATCTGATTTCTCTGAACACATTCAGATAATTTAGCACTCTTGTTGGAATTTATCCTTGTGCAAAGGGGCCAACAGGAGATCTGTGTGCCACTGAAGTTCCACTTAGCCCTCAAAAATGTGCTTTTGTTGACATATGTGTGAGAGCTGGTACTTCACACCGGAGTGAATTCCATCTAATGCGCATAGGCTGAAGCACAGAGCCTCAATCACAAAAACCAAGATATTGTGAAAAAGATCATTCAAGTGTCAAGTAGAACTGGGAATTTTTTGACAACATTTTTCTTCTTGAAAAATGCTTCTTTGTTGAAATCAAAACTATTTTTCAGGAAACAGTTGGCTTCAATAAATTGTTCAATTTTTAAAAAAATTCAGAAAATGTGGGATCAATTTGGACATTTTCAAGATGAAGAATTCCAGCCTTCCATTTTGAAACTTAAAAAAAAAGTAAGAGAAAAAAAATCAAAAGGAAATATTTTGATGAGCACAAACCAATTTGGAGGGAGGGGAATTTTTCAGTTCCTAAAAAAATTAACCTTGTCTTGATTCAGCACATAGAATTTCATCCCATCAACAACAAACTCAAGATGGGAAAATTATTTCAGCTTTAGTATCTGGATAGAAGACTCACACATTGACAAAACATAAAGCTCCTATGTTCCTTGATGGTTTCAGAATACTGTATAACTGCTGTACTCTCCACTACAGTACTTAAAAGGTTTAAGAAAAACTGAAATGGTTCTATTTACATTGCATGCATACATTTCCAGTCCAGTCCACGGAACAGCAACGTTCCCAGGGCTCACATGCCACTAGTGCTCCCTCCAGATAAGTGTCACAAGGAAGAACTAGAGAGCCATATGGCAGTAGCAACATCCAATTTCAGCAAAAGAGCAACTCACCACACCCACATCACCTGACCCAGCATTCATAACAGAGGTACTTGTGTTTTTATTCTGGTAGGGAACAAAAATAATATCATGTGACTCAATTGGCCTACTACTATTCCACACTAGCAAACCAGAAATGGGAAGCACAAGGGGCAATGAAAAATGTTTGAATCCATTTAAAAAAATAGGTGGTCAATACTTGTCATTTACTAGTACATGCTTTAGGAGAGAAAAATAGGCTAACTCCAAATAAGTATTCTGCTCTACAATTATTTATATTACAAAAGGTATCTAATTTATTATTTTGATTCTGCAACTTGCTCTGCATGTATAGACCCATGCATCTATATGTCATCCATTGACTTTATTAGAATGGTGCATGGGAACAGGGAACAGCAGCTTGAAGATTGGGATTTTAAAAACCTGAACTCCTTCAAAAAGTTACCTTGGTCAATACTAGGTATGTCAGTGGTTAACTAGTAAGCATCACCTTTACTGAGTGACGCTTACCAGTTACCGGTTAACCCATGTACCCGGCTTGGTCCAAACATCCCCACACCGTGGGCAAAGGGCATTCCAGCCCAGACAGTGCAGCTCCCACAGGGCAGGCAGGGAGGCCACTCCACCCCATTTAAGCAGTTAAAGGTTACATTTAACTGGTTAACCAGTTAACTGATTAAACAGGATTTTACATCCTTAGTCAATAGCAATGTTCCCTGTAAGCTGTGCACTCATGTGGGAACATTGGTCAATACCCTAAACTGCTATTTAAAGTTGGTAGGATCTTTCCTGGTAGCACTACTGTGCTATATTTTATCTATATTAATAGTTTCTAAAATTATACTAAACACACAAGACAGACAAAAGTGTCAAAATAAAAGTTAAATTTCTCAGTCTGTGTTTACTTTAGTCAAGCCTTAATTTGTATTTCTCAGCTTATATGTTTTAACCCAACCTAATTTGAACTTGTTTTTCCTATAAGTCCCATGCACATTTGTATATCAGCAATGATTATAGCAAATTGCCTATCTTCATTAAATTTACCTCTACAGAATTTTTTCCTGATGATCAGCTGAAGTAACAAATCATTGAAATCAACATCCTTTACCCTCATTTTCCACTGTGGGCTGTTCCTTCTAGGTCTTTTAGAATATAAGCTTGCTAAGAAAGGACTGTCATTTCATGCCTTTTACAGAGCCTGGGGACATTGTTATCACTTAATAAATGAGGTTTTAAAAACTGGGTATTTAAAAGAAAGAAACGAGGAGTCCTGTGGCACCTTATAGGCAACCCGAAGTGTTGGAGCATAACCCACAGGACTCCTCGCCGCTTTTGCAGATTGAGACTAACACTGCTACCCCTCTGATAAAAGAAAAATTAACTCAAAATATGTCTCTCTCTTTAATCTACTTGGATTAATCCAGCCCTTACTGAAGAAAATGAGAATTGTTCTATTGACTTCATAGGTGTCAAATATTTCATTCCTAGAATCCATAGTTAACTTGGGCTGGGATTGAGGGGTGAATAGATTGGGGTTGGGGAGAGATACTGTATTAATTTAGTTTCAAGTGCATGACATTTGTACCTAAAATCCTTTGTACGAATCCATACAGATCAATGCTATTGCTAATGAATTATGAGTACAGGACTAGTAAAGAATTCTGAAAAAAAAAACCTTAAAAATAACCAATAGTATTGCAATGACTTAGAGACTAATAAAATTTGTAGATAGTATCATGAACTTTCATGGCACAATCCTCTTCTTCAGAATTCTGAGTGAGCTATTCTCAGCTCTGACAGGCATTCACAATAGTGTGACCTTGGACAATTGCTCAATCTCTCTCCGTTCCCCAGTTCCCTTCCCCCAAAACTGTGAAACATGGATAATATTTATCTAGGGAAGTATTAGGAGGTACAATTTAGTGCTTGTAGAACACTTATGCCTTTTTTCCAGGGATATCAAAGTATTCTATATTCCACCCATGGTATTCACTCACCCTTGCCCATTCCTCATACCTACTGAGGTGCAGAAGATGGAAAAATATATTTGTCCAGGGTTTTGTGTTGTGCCCACTGCTGTACTCAAGAGATGTGTATGATGAGCAAGGGCATACCATGGTAGGTGGCTGAGTTATGCAGTCCCTAATCCTTCAGTCCTTACAAGAGTAGCACTTGCTATTGGCCCCATGGAAACCCAATGAGCTACTCGCATGGGTAAAGACTATTTGCACAATATCATAAATCAGACATTTCTCTGATAACAATATAAGGAAGTGTCCTTTTTTGCCTGTCAGATATTCTGTTACTATTATATAC